GTTCTATGTTCTATGTTCCACACTCCCCTCCAGCCCCACCACCCCCGGCACTTTTCCCTGCAACCGAAGCAAGTGCTACACCTGCCCCTACACCTCCCCCCTCGCCCCCATCCCAGGCCCTAAGAAGACCTTCCACATCAAACAGATGTTCACCTGCACATCTGCTAATGTGGTATACTGTATCCGCTGTTCCCGTTGTGGCCTTCTCTACATCGGGGAAACCAAGCGCAGGCTTGGCGACTGCTTTGCGGAACACCTACGCTCAGTTCGCAACAAACAACTACACCTCCCAGTCGCGAACCATTTCAACCCCCCCCTCCCACTCCTTGGCCGACATGTCCATCCTGGTGCAGGGCTGGATGAACACAGCAGGCCAAGCAGCATCATAGGAGCAGAGAGGCTGACGTTTCGGGCCTAGACCCTTCATCAGAAAAGCAGTTCCTACTATCTCCATCCTGGGCCTCCTGCATTGCCGCAATGACGCCACCCGAAAGCTGCAGGAACAGCATCTCATATTTCGCTTGGGAACCCTGCAGCCCGATGGTATCAATGTGGACCTCACAAGCTTCAAAATCTCCCCTCCCCCGACCGCATCCCGAAACCAGCCCAGCTAGTCCCCGCCTCCTTAACCATTCCTCCCACCTCAAGCCCCACCCCCTACCAACTAACCTCATCCCACTTCCTTGATCTGTCCGTCCTCCCTGGACCGACCTATCCCCTCCCTAACTCCCCACCTACATTCACCTTCATTGGCTCCAACCCCGCCTCTTTGACCTGTCTGTCTCCTCTCCACCTATCTTCTCCTTTATCCATCTTCTATCCGTCCCCCCCCTTCCCCCATTTCTGAAGAAGGGTCTCGACCCGAAACGTTAGCTTTCCTGCTCCTCTGATGCTTGGCCTGCTGTGTTCATCCAGCTCTACACCGTGTTATCTCTCTCAATGGGTGCCATCTTGGTTCAGCGGGACGGGGGATTGCGCAGGCGTGGTGGCGTCACAGGGAGTGGGCGGGGCTGAGCGTTGTCCCTCCCCAATTCCCGATCTCTCTCTCTCTCCCCAATTCCCGATCTCTCTCTTCCCCCTTCCGTCCCTAATCTGTCCCAATGTCTCCGTAGTTTTG